CCAATCTAGATCTCAAATATATATATATATATTTAATCATAATTATAATATTTCTAATTTTTGGAATCTAAATTCCAAAAAACTAGATCAATTCCAATTTATCCAGAATCAATTTCTTCAATTTGCAAATTTTATTTATCAATTTTGAATTAATTATATATATATATATCTATTCTATAAAATGAAATATTATAACTAATCCTTTTTCGTGGCGTCATCCCTCGGACCAATATTTCTTCTATATTTCTGAAAATTTAGATTTTGCGACAATGCTCTAAATTTCTCGGAATTTTTAGTGTCCTGGGAGTAAGTTTCGAGGCGTTATCTTTTTATGCGATTTGGGGGAATATCGCGTCGAGAAATTTAGAATCTCGGATTTATTGTCTTATTCAGCTTCTTCATTTTCAAGAAATTTTGAAATTCATTCTCTAATTTTTTTTGAAAATTTAGATCTTAATTTCTAGAAAATTAGAGAATAGATATAGAATATTTTCAAATTTCATTTGATATTCTCGTATACGAATTTTGCAGAATTCCAAATTTCACTTCATATCTTTATAAGCGATTTTTTTGCGAATCTCTTGAAATCTGGATCCATGAAGAACGGAAAGAACGAGCAACTAATGATGGCAATTTCTTCATAGATAATAAAGAAATTCTTGAAATCTTTCTTCTGGAGATACGACTTTGAGCATTCCAATAAGGCACAATTAAATAATATTCCAGTGCCGGAGAGAGACGAAAAAAGGGACGGAAAGAGATGATAGAAGGAGAAATAAGGCAAGATATAGAAGGAATCACGCAGAAGTGACGGAGCCAGATATGGAAGAGAATACGGAAGGAGATTCGGAGGAACATACGGAGAGGAGACAAGGTTGGAAAGAGAAGATAGAATAAGAAGATGGAGGAGGAATCTAATAAGAGACGAGACAGATTCAGATAATCAAGAAATAGAAATAAAGATATATAGAGGCAAATCAATCAGAAATTAATACGGAAGATTATTTAGAGGCGAAAGTCTAAGCAAATAAGCAAGAAATTTGGAGAGATGATAAACTAAAAGAATAAAGAATGAGCTCCGCCATTAAGAAAAATGACGAATTTATTATCTCCCGCTCGCCCTTTTACATATGACCTCCTTTCGGGTGAGAATTTCCTCTAAAATTCTTGAGAATTTTTTGGCGCGACATATCCCCGAATCGAAAGAAAAAAATAATAATTCGAATCCCAAATTCAGGATCGCAAATTTTCGAACAATTTATAGTCACGAATTAATCTCCTTATTCGATTTGTAAATTTTCGCGAGATTTTGAAAGTCCATTTTCTGAATTTCTTGAAAATATTTATATCTTATATATTTCTATATATATATATAGAATATTTCCAAATTCTTTTTCATATCTTTATATCTAAAATAAAAGAGAATCGAATTTCATTTCAGATCATAATAGGCGAAATTTAGAAAGAATATTGTCAAGGCCCGTATCTAATTCTATAAACACGCATAGAGCGCTTAATTAAATCGCTGGATATATGTTGCGTAGTGCAAATATCTCTCGATCTATATCTCTATTTCCGACAATAGATCGAGGTTAGATCATCCATATAATGGCAATGCAAGAAGAGGCGAGCAAGATATCATTATTATAATATATTATAATTCGAAAATCATTTGCATCATCAATATCATCTCTATTATCATATTATTAATTATTATCATCAGATTTCATATTTATATCGCAATAATCTTTGTAATTTAGGCAATTAATATTCTTATTAAAATTATATAAGCAATATTACGACTCCTCGTTCATAACTCGATTATAATTATTACTAAAAGATCTATCATAATAATAATAAGTTCTCTCTTTCTCTCTCAGCGTCTCTTTATATCTTTTCTTTCTTTATCAATTCTTTTGTTTTATATCATTCGCGAAAATCTCACTATTTCTCTTTCTATATATCTAAAATTCAATCTATATCTCTCCCTTTTTTCTCCTCTTTCTATTATTTTAATAAAATCTATCTTTTTCTTTTTCTTTCTTATATTCTATTCCCTCTATAATTATTTTTAGTTCTTGCTATAGAATTCTCTATTTTTTTCTAAAAAATATTTCGTCATATCATCATAAATCATTAAAAAATTTTGCTTCTATTATAACAGAAATTCTATCTTATTCATCATTAATTCATTATTTAATCATAGATACAATCCGACAATTCTCTCTAATTATATGCAGCCGGCAAAAATCCTTAGTGCTAATAATCGGATAAAACGTATTTTAACAAACAGAATAGAAATATTTCAATAATCTTAAAATATTCAGAAATAAATATTTCTATTCTAACGGCGAATTATACAAAAATCATCGACTAATTATTATGACCAACAATAATTTCGTTATAATATATAATTTTTTCATATCAATATGAAAATTCATCATTTTAAAAGCTTAATTAAATATTTAATTCAAATTATAAATAATAGAACAAATAAATTTTCAAATAACAGAATAATCGAAGATTCGATCCCAATTAATAGAACGAAATATTATAATAATTAATATTGAATATTCTAATAACAAACGAGACATTTCCAAATATTTGCAAACGACCCATAGGTATCCGAGAGAACGATAATATAAAATTAAACGATTCGACGACAGAATTATATATCTATATATATATATATAGATATATGTAGATATATATAGATACATATAATATAGATACATATAGATATATAATAATGTACACTATATTGCCATTCGCAAAGCGGTTACGACAAAGACAAACGATACGATAACGACTAACCGAACGACAAAAAATAGACGATAATACGATAAATATAAGCAACGATACGACCACCATTAAAACGACGACTGCACGACGCCCCGACGGACGTCCCATGGACGGACGACGCGACGACAAAAAGATGGACGATACGACGGCCCACGACACGACAAATGTTACGATGGCTGCCGCACGACGCACACCGGAAGGACTGTTCGAACTTCCAAAGTCATAGAAACAGCTATCAACGACAAGTACTTCGCCACGAAAATTGTCTTTGCGAGGAAAGTTTCTTTGCATATTCGTGCAGCTCGACGCCGAACTAATCGACGAAAGGATCAGTTGGCTAGAGGCATTACACTGGAGCTCCATCAGAGTGTCTCTGGCCCCAACATTTCCGGAAATTATGAGACAAAAGACCGGGAGCTCTTGCTCCAAAATTTTCCGGAAATTTCGCGTCCACAACATTCTCCAAAACTTTCAAGAGAGATAATCCCAAAACTTGCTCCCTAATTTCCTAATGAAAATGGGACGGGCCGTCCCACAATTTTTTAGAAATGTGGAGTCTCGTCGGGGTCTCGTTAAGAAACTTCGCCTCTAATTTTCCCGAGAATTCATACAGGGACGAACATCGTGGAGAAACCCCTCAAGCTCAAATTCCCAGGAATGATGGGGGGGGTGAGAATATGGAGAGTACCATGCGGCGGTGGGCCCAAAAAGTAAGACTAGCTCTAGCAGATGGAGAATAGAGAATTGAAAACTATACGAGCTTGAAAATTACAGAACCTCATGATGCACAGGATAGTCTCGAAAAAACGGAAGTGATTACAACTATGGTATTTCCGAAATTGTATCTAGATCGATCTCGGCACGCAGAACATTGCAAAATAAGAAAATATGACTCGCTTTCTTGATCCCCCAAATCGCAACACTGAAAAAAATCAGATCTCCACATCTTTTTGTGCTAAGGGATTTATTTGGCTCCCACATGGCAAGCCCAGGCAAGCACAGCAGCTGTGGGTCGGAATACGAGTTGAGAGGGGACACCGTCTACTTCTGTCGGAGCACACACAACAGAAAGATGTGCTTTCAAGCTAAACCTATTGGTGTGTCCGTCGAGGAACTACGTAGATTAGTGCTACATCTTTCTGTTGCACATGCTACGCTCACAAGGCAATGAGGACAGGATGGCTCTTGTAGCACTTCCATCGCACGGCAGTGCAAATCCGTGATGCCAATCCCATACACGCTCGAACCCACACGGCAACCTGTTTCTTTGTCCAATCAAGTTCAACATGCAACTGACACACTTCCATGGAGGATTTTGAACTTGAAGAACTTGAGGCTTCGACTTTCCACGGGCGAATGCTTCAGGGGCTCTGGGCTTGAGAGCTCAGTTTGTTGATTGTGCCTTTCGGGAGTTCCGGGCGGTCTGTGCTTGAAGAGGCGGTTACTCGTGCCGTCGGAGTTTAGAGGTCAAGGTCCAGAGCTTGACTCACGGTATCGTCTCCGGCTGTCGCCCAGGTGACAATGTTTTCCATAGAAATGCATACCTCAGACGAGCCAGGCAGACTTGCCATGCCAGGCAGATTCTTCGCCGACAGCTTAACCGGCGTGGTACATGTAGGCTGCCTAAAACCTACAGCCTGAATCCTTGGCTGTGGGTAAGGATTTTGGGTCCAGTGCTCGCTGTCGAGAGCTAAGGCAGCTAATGCACATCAGAACAACCTAGCGAGCCACTGTAAAAGTAGAGCAGAAAAAGAGCAATAGAAACAGAACACTGCTGGGGGTTTAGGTCGTTGTCGTGTTACCCCGCTTTAGGGGATCCTAAACCCCAAGCCCTAAACCCGGGGACCCTATAAACCCAAGCCTGGAAGCTCCAAGCACTCAGGGAATAAGGTCTCACGGTTCCGAAGAAAAGAGTTCTGGCCCCAGTTTTCGCTTCAGACCAAGTAGCCACGCTCTTTGGCCAGGTTGGGGAGGGTTCCCTTTATGAAGGTCTCTGAAAGGGGGGTTTAGGTTTTTTTTTTTTAGGATTTAGGGTTTAGTAACACCTAATGCGGGATGTTGCTGGCGGATCAAACACTGTAAAGGCGAATTAGGAATTTCGGTTGGGCAACCGCAACTGGCGAAAGGATTCAGGGTTTCACGGTTTATGCTGGCAGCCTGAATCCTGGAATTGCCAGCCAATCCTGCAGAACAGCGGCTGTGCCACTTGCATGAAAGCCCGTTGCTTGTTGTCAGCAGCGCCGCCGTGCCCACCCTCGATGTTTTCGTAGTAGAATGTGTGGTCCTTTGGGAAGTCTCTGGTAAAAACCGTGATCAAGTGTTGAGGATGCAAACAACTGCTCCGAATCACGCCTGCTGATTTGGGGTTTCTTCCGCACCATTACCCTCTCAGCATGCCTGGTGCCACCCCAACAACTCCTGGCTCAAAACCACTAGCCAAGCCCATTGCAATTCCACAAGCCTGCTCACTGCTTGGCAATCGATGAAGATAGACCGCCAAGCACCAAGGTCTCAACTGCTTGAGCCGAGGGCTCATGTTGGGTGCTTAGGTTAAGCCCGTTTGGGACACTGCATCGTGAATCGGACCTTAAATCCACCACCCCTTGTCCCAAACGGCCGCGACTCGTAAGCCCTGAAAGCGTGAAGCCGTAGCCAAATACATCCTGAGCGCCGGCCAACTTAAATCCCTTTCTTGCACCCAGGCCTCTTCGAAGTGCCGGGTGAACCCTAAGTCCTGAAAAAATCCAGATCCCCTTTTTGGCAGCAGGCAGCCCGGTCTCCTTGGCCGTGGGATGAGCCAAAAGCTTCGCAACCATCTTCCGAGCATGGCCAGGGTGAACCCGGTCATCCTGGAGGTTCCGGTCTTTTCCAAGTCTCAGGGTTTAGGGCTTAGGGGCTTTGGGTTTCTCGAAATTGCGAAGGCTGTTGGGCGCGCGAGTTTTGACCGAACGTTTTGAACGAACCGTTTTGACCCAAAGTTTTGGCCGAGCTTGGTCTTTTGGGGCACCTGATTTTTTGAAGTTGGGGCCGGGGCTTGGGCTTTAAAATAAGGGTTTCTTGACATGAAGCTCGACCACAGCCCAGGCCCGGCCCTGGCCCTGCCCCCAAAATTCGAACCCGGCCCGGGCCTGGGGTGCTGTTGCTGGGGCTGGGACTGAAAATCACGGTTTAGAGGGTTCAACGTGAACAATGGCAAGCAATTTCTATTTATTTCTTTCTTGAGGGTTTAGGAGTTTAGGGTTTAGGGGTTTTGGGGTGTCTAAAGATGATCCAGACAAGGCTTATAAGGCTTGCTACAGTATTGCCTGCGAAATTTCTGGGTTTTGCTCGGGTTTAGGGCTCTATGAGGCCTTACAGAAATTCTGTATGAGGTTCTCATGGAAGGGTTCAAGATACTTGTATGAGGGTTCTGGAAGATCTCTAGATGGTCCATCGAAGCTTCTTTAATCTGATGCATTCTGGCTTTCGGATTGCAACGGAAACAGCTACGAGAATTAACGCATTATGGTTCCACCAGCGTGGCTGCTGGCGCTCTCAAGCTTCAATATTCCTCCTTCCCGGTGTCTCGAACCCACATGCCTGCCCGAGTTTGCAACGCGCTCTTTTGTTTTGGTCAAAGTTTCGGGTTGCCTTGCCTGCTCACTTGCTTTCGAGTTTGTTGGCTCGGGTGGCTGGATCGTATATCGGCCAATAGCTTTTAGATGCCGGTTCTCACGCGGTACAGAGGCATGCAGGATGAGGTTGGGGGAAGCAGAGGATTCTGAAGGGCCAACCGAGTGTTCGGCTGTCTGGGTCAGCCCTGACGTTGCCAGAGCTTCACTGCCTCGGTTAAAGTAGCACCCATGCTAGGTCAACTTCCGTTGTTCTGGAAAGCCTAGCTATGCCTAGCTGACCCCAGAGTGGCGGCCCTCCAACCACACAAGGGCTGCGATTGTCCTTTTCACGACTTTTCCTGCGCCTCTAGGGTGTTCTTTGGCTTCTCCCTCCACACGTCAGTATTAGTATTAGTCTCAGCAATAGCACTGGCAACAGCATTAGCATGAGTAATAGTATCAGCATCAGTATGAGTATGAGTATGAGTACTGATACTAGTATGAGCATTGTCGTTCGACTTCATATCCATGATGTCAAACAGGAGATTTCACAGCCGTTCTGGGTTCCGTGTTTCTGCAGGCTTAGGGTTTTGGGGGCCTCCCGAAACAGGCTGTAAGGGTCCATAGGTTCGGTCATGAAGGTTCTCTACTGCTTGCTCGTGAGAAAGCCTTTTCGGGAATCCACTGGACTTTGACAGCATGGAGAAGAACCCCCCCCCCCTCCTCCCAGTCATTCTTAAACAGCCGGGTGTGCGCGGGCGGCTTGCTCAGGCCTGTGCATTTTCCTACAGGTAAGAAACTCAAGGTGATTATTCAGGCTTCAAGGAGACGTATGGGATGCAAGCCCGCGTCTTGACTGATGTGTCCTTCGTAGATGTGACGAAGAGCGCCGGTGGGTAGGTCTTGTCATCAGACAGGTTGTGATACGGTGAGTACTGCTTCAGGAATTCCTCCCAGTCGCTGGTTGCAGGGTCACCTCGCGAGCCCTTGAGGGTTCAGGGTGGGGTTTAGGGTAACCGGGTAGGGGTATCACTTCTGCGGAACATCATGCTAAGCTAGAAAAAGTCTTCATGCGCAAATATGTAAAGAGCGGCTTCAACCTGGGGGGGGGGGGGGTTGTGGGAGAAACGTTTGCGCGCTCATGATCAGCACCTCCCAACACGACGCCACAATTAGAAGCAACCCCGAAAACCGAAAGCTGCAGTACCTCGCAGCCTTCCATGCAAAGCAAGTGGACAAGTCACAGGGAGATACGTTCATTCATGCCTGCTGTATGTCTCCAAGTAGCCGTATTCTCCCATCCAACTAGCTCCAGCTAGAAGCTGACTGTATCTCCTGGGCTTGAACCCTAACTGCTGGAAAGGGTTCAAGGTTCAAGGAGTTGTAAGAAGCTAGGAGCACGGCACATGTGTCTTTGAGCCTCATACTTGCAGCTGTGGGATGAAAGCAGCTAGCTAGCAAAAAAACCGTAAGCCCAACCCTGGCCCACATCTACACTGAAACACATGGCACAGCAAGGACAAGACTGCGACGTGAGGACCCCTTCCCCCATCATTGCGCGGTGTTTATGAAAGCTCGCGGAAGGTGTAGAGCTGGTTTAGAAGCAGAATACTGGCAGTGTGTAACCACCAGTTGCGCACATTCGGGTGATTTGTAAGCAGAACGTACTTCAAATTCTTGCTTGTCTTCCTGCAGCCTGGCTGAACTTTCCTTCCATCTACCTGCCTTTAACTTTCGATTTGTGCATCTATCTATCTATCTAAGTACCCAGCCGTGTATCTACCTAAACATCCATTGTAGACTAAGCACGTGCCCAGAAGTGCGGCCGGGAGTCTGCATGTCAAGCAACGGCACCTGGCACACGATCGCACCAAAGAGCTCCTGGCAATGGCGAAGTTGGGTTTAGGGTTTACGGCCGCCGTAGAACTTGCCCCGTTATGGAATTCTCCGAACACGTGTACACTCTCGAGAAAAAATCTTGCTGCAGGTAATTTCTGGCTTGGGTATGGCGGCTCTGATGACCTTGGCAATCACAGAAACTTCAACCACAAGCTCACAGGTGACCCTTGGCAACCTGCTGCAACAGCAGGATGAGTTGAGGACAAGCCTAACGTCGGCGATGCTGACATCTCAAGCGCATGATTCTCTGCACGGATGCCGAAAGCCAAACCAATCCACAATACCAGACACAGGGTGTTCCTTCAACAGGTTTGCAACGGTTTACACCCTATTCCGTGGACCGTAGACCCTACGCTTCCACGTCGTGAGCTTCCGCGGCACTCTTCATTCGACGTCCGTGTGATTCCCTTAAACAAGGAACACCTGCATTCTGATGAAATTCTTCCGGACGGTTTAACCATGTACCGTCATGTACCTTTAATATCCATTGTGGTCCTTTTCTAGGTTTAGCCTATTTACAGTTAGTGAGGATCCTATAAGGCAAGCCCAAAGAAAGGGACTACAATGGAGACTGTATGCAGGTTTAAGACTCCAGGATTTTGGATTTCACGAAGGTGTGACAAGCTCTCTCTGGGTAGATGGGAAATTCAGACATGGAGGAGGCATCAAACACCAAGGACTTCAATATCCCTTGGGCCCTGACATCGGAAGATTTCAACTCTCTGGCGACTTCGGCTAGCTTGGTATATATTTGAGACAGCTGTAGGTATAACCCTAAACCCTACAGTCTAAACCACGCAAACTATGCGAGGCCATCTCGGGAACTGCTTACGATTTAGGTTCTGGAGTTTATAGGGAACCCTAAGCCCTAAACCCTAAGACAGCCCTTCTGGATCTTTTGGGGTCTAGGGTTTAGGGGGAAAGAGCTAGGATCGAGGATGCCGCTCTCAAGAAGTGAGGATCCCAATCCCAAGGACCTTCACATGCGTTCTACTTGGGCCCGTATTGTAGGACCCTGACGAATCCCAAGTCTCTCTCGCTCTCTCTCTCGATGGGCCTCCCCTACAAACGGTGCGGGTCAGCACAGAAGAACGGCGAGGGCACGCCCCGAACCCAACATGTGCTGTGAGAGTCCCCCAGTGAGCGCATCAGCCCCTTGCCCCACTGTCATATGCCACCGTGCTGGGCACGTTGGCCTCAAGGGACCCTGGGTGGAGTGCCTGGATCTATTAATAAGCCATCCGGTCCAAACAGACGCGGACGCATGAATTATCCTCGCACGCAGCGAGGGCGTATGATTCCAGACGCTCAAACCCCCCGCAACGTGCCCCACACCCGGCCAGTGGTGTGCGAGCTGGCATCAAAACAGCACTTGCATCAGCTCGTGGGTAGGGCGGAATGCTGCTCCAACACGGGCAACTCCCCATGGGCTTTTGCCTGTCCGCACATTACTGCAAACCTGGGCAGGCAGAATAGCCGGCATGAGTGCATGTGATGCTTCTATCACTTCCTCTTAGCTGTGAGCACAATGTTGCAATACATGCAGCAACAACAACAAGCAATACAGCGATAACTGTTTTTCGCGTGGAATTCGGTCCTAACTCTTCGAGACCTGCCTTGCAAGACTATGGTCATGACTTGCCATTGGACATGAAGATTTGCTTGACCAAGACTTGCAAGTATTTTTCAAGTGCGAGAAAACGTGTGGACTCAGAATTACAGCACATTGCTGCAAGAAGAACTGCCTAAACACGGCATGACCAGCACATGGAAAACACAGACAGGTCTGCCTACTTGCTACCCGAATCTAATAGCCGCACCGGGGCGCCCTCTTCTCCCGGGTGAGCATATTTCCCATGAGCAGCCCGCCATTGGAGCCTCCTGCCGGGGAGCTTGGCTTGGCTTCGTTGGCTTGGCTTGAGGATGTAGGGTGTAGGACCGATACATGATGCAGAATGTACGGTACAGTCCAGGGACCAGACCCACTTTGATGAGCAAGGCTTTTGATGTCACGTTCACTCGGCCTGACGGCCTACCACCTACGAAAATGTCCAGAATGAAACATACTGAAACGCAGGTTCCTGGCCTTCGACTGGTTTTGGGGTCCAGGGTTAGGAACTTTACTTTGACGCGTCAGGAAGAGCATGGCCGCCACCTTGGATGCCCAAAAGGGCCCGGGTCGTGACGCCGCGCCGGAGCAGGTCTTCTGCAACGGCCTGGCTTTGCTATAAGAAGCCGACGCGCTTTATTATGGTATCTTGATTCAACTCAGGAAAAGCAGGTTTTGGGCTACAGGTAGAGTTTACGGTTTGGAGAAAAAGGAATGCCGCGATCTCCATGGGGAACCGAACTAGGGAGCAAAAGGAAACGACCACGGAGTAGAAATCCAGGCTTAAAAGTTCCAAGGTTTTCGGGCATACGGCGGTAGGGCTAAAGGCTCGGTTTAAGGCCCAGGGGATTGGGCAACGGAGTGGAAACCAATCCTAAACCCTAAATATTCACAAATAGATTCTGGAAGCCGCTTGACCGGGGGTTCCAGAAAAGCTGAAGTGTAAGATCCTTCTTCGGATGTTGTTTGATGGGCCCGGTATGGCGGAATACCAAGCCTGGGGTAGAGAGAAATCAGAATGTCATTCGATTAAGCAGACTGTGTTCCGAACTTGCAGGTTGTTCTTGCTATGCATCTGGGCAGCACCCATGCTAGCTCGTGAGCTCACCGTTTTTGTGACAGCCAGCTCGGAATGACAACTAGTGAGTCAAAAAATAAGTCATCAATCTTACAGGGTTCCCATCGTCACAATTATCCAGTGGCTCTCAGACCAAGCTTGTATCATAGGATGCCGGCAAAGTCCAGGGCACCCCCCTCAACCGACGCCTCGAAGTCTTCGTAGGCTTTGTTACGATTCGCCTTCTTGGCGGCTTGGTGCCACCTGACTCCAGAATGCAGAAGGGTAGTTCTCTAAGTGAGGGTCCCTCTTTAGGCCTCCCAATCTAGAACGGCATTCTTATATAAAAAGGATCCTAAAGGGGACCCTAATTTAGAGAGCTACCCAGAAGCTCGCTCTGAAATTAGCTTAGCTTCGGCAGATGGAGGTCTCTCTGTAAACCTGCAGATCGCGGCAGGGAGATCCCTGGCCGTCTTCAAAACTTCAGTCATGTAAGGGCCCCGTTAATTAGAATGGGGTGTTGGGGTATGTTATAAATTCGGAATAAGGAATACGATTGGCAGTTACTACCACAGCACACCCAACCAACCTCCAGGCTTACTGCCCTGCAATGCCTACACAAGCCGACCCTGCACAGGTTTCCGCCTGTCTGCGTCGTCCACTGACCGATAAAAAATTGAATCTGAAGCCCAAGTTTTGAACAAGCATTGACGACATGTCATTCTCGATGCCGCCTCTTTTCGCACGTTGCAAGGGTATCCGTTCTGAGCAGTGACAGAGACACGGCTGATGCTCAGGCTGCTTCAGGTCCCAGGGCTTCCGGATTTCAGAGGCTGGGGAAAATCCAAAAGAGCCTGAGGGCTCAGACAGCCTCCCCAAGACCTAAGCCCTAAAGAAAATAACCCCAAACCCTAAACCCCTAAACCCAAGCAGGGGGTCGACCTGGGTCCGTACTCGCCGCCGCCGCGAATGTTCGCATCAATCCAAACCTAGGGTCTAGGTGTTCACTGGGTTCATCGGGTTCTCATAAGGTCTCCTTTAAAAGGGCCGGCTCGGATTCTATAGTGTTCAAAAGAGGCTAGGGCCAGTTACGGCTTCCAGGCTTTCGGGCTCCCTAAACCCTAAAACCTCTCAACCCCTAAACCTCTAAGGCTAAGGGCTTCAGCCTTTTAGGGCTTTTGGGGCTTACGGGCTTCGGCGTTCAGACTCGGATCTGCCAGGCGAGCTTTGGCCAGGTCGGCTGGGAGTGAGACCTAGGCCCCAAACTACACAACGGTTTAGGGTTTAGGGTTTCGGGTTTAGGGTTTAATTAGGGAACCACGAGACCCTAAACCCTAAACCCTGCCTAAACCACAACTCAAGACAAGGCAAATCATGAACTCTTTGACTGCAGGGTCTCGCATATAGAAAGCCCCAGTAGCATAGCTACGGGTTTAGGGCCTGGGTTCTCGTAATAAATAGGACTAGGCTCACGTAGGCACGCAGAGAAACACCAAGGAAGCAAATATCTTGCGACGGAAGTGATGGTGCCTCTACGCAGCATCATCCTCGCAACGACAAGTGCTGCGTGCTAGTACTTGATAACAGCTTGAACAGCCCAACTGAACTTGCCAGGCAACACCGCCGTGCTCTAGCCAAGCGATTCCTGTTTAAGTGGCTGCAGAGTGCAGCTTTCAAGATGTAGGTGGATTGAGTGGAAAGCCTTGCTGCCCAAAGCGTTTTAGAATGATTTGCTGCAGTAACTGCGATGCTCAAAAGCACCCGAAGATCGTGACTTGGCTAGTGTTCAGCGGACTGGTCGAAAGGCCCGATCTACGGCAGCAAGTCAAAGTCGAAAAACCCAAGCTGTAACCCCACCCTGCGGGCTTTACAATGATTCGATGAAGTCTCCGTCAGCCTTCAAACCGATGAACTTGGATGGGAACAGATGGCAGCAACGACCACGCGGGTTGAAGCGTCAAAACCTCTAGACTCCATGTCTAACCGAGCCCCAGCCTGTAGAGAAGTTTTCTACTGTACCCAAGCCCGCAAGATCGGGAAGCTGTTGTTTGACATTGTCATTTTGCCAGGAGTCGACAGCCAAGATCCATCATCCCCAAAATCACTAAATTCGCACACTCCAGCTCCACCCCATCCTACCCTGACCTCGTGCGCCCGAGTAGGCCGGCGTTAAGGAAATCTCGAAGCCGCCGTAGCCATAAAGAAGCGTCGGGTTCCTGGATCTCGACACTCTCTGGGACCCTGGCCATGAACTACATTACTTCCCAGATTAGGGGTCAGTGGCTTCGGCGGCCAGGGGTTTAGAGTTTCGGATTTAGGGTTTAGGATCGCTTCGGAGCTAATCACTCCGAGCCCTGTAGTACATCCAAGCACGAACAGAACATTCCGAAAGCAGCCGCCCAACGTGGGACGGAATTTAGGGAAAAAAGCAGATGCAAGCGGGCGTTTTTTCTAGCATGTGCCTGAAAGGCAAATAAAAATCCAAACAGCTCTCACAGCTCGAAAGCAGATACCACGCTCTGAGCCCTCTTCTCTACACCCTAAAGGTCGTCCAACCCCACAGCCCTAAAAGCCCGGGATACTTCTCCAAGGCACTTGCCATCATAGGCCATGTCCTTCTTGCCAAGCTGGAAGTATGGCACCTTCTATTGCTTATGGTTTAGTGCAGCATTCGAGGGCAAGAGACTTCCACCATCAATTCCCGAAGCGTCTGAAGACTGCAAACACCACAGGTCAGAGGCCGAAGCCGCCCAAGACCCTCAGACATCGTACGGTTTAGGGTTGGTTTAGGTTTTAGGGAGCACGACCTTTGTTATGACGGCCCCTGGTAGTGCTTTTGTTGCCTGCCGGGCTGTTGCCGGCACTTTTGCCATGACTTGACTCTCTAAACGATGGTCGTTGGCCTGGCAATGCCTTATATCTCGGATGTCAGAAGAGTCCGTGTGCGATTCGGATTCAACGGCTGTCCGTCCTGCGGACGATTTGCCGCTATTGACATACCAGGCATGATTCGACCAAAGGACAGGAGCAAGCTTGCCTTCTTGGCCCCACCCCAAACCCTAACGTACGAAAGCCCCAGACCAGACGCCAGCTCTTTAGTCTTGGCAAGTTTCAGCCCCCGAGTGCCTTCGTACCGTCCAGCGATGTTGCGAAGAATTGCTGAACCTGCAGGACAAGGGTTTAGGGTTGTTCAGGGGAAGGGTCTCGACTCTCACTGTCGCACAAGGCACGCAATGCTCCGCATAGGCTTAGGGCAGAACCAACCGTATGTAATGAACATCCGGAGGAGGGCTGTCCCCGAAAGCGCCTAAAAGTGCCGAGAACTTCCACTTGCGGGCAGAAAGTACTCCCCCGCCCCCATCACCTATCATTCTGCGAATGGTCAAGCCTTGAGAAGCATAGCCTGGTTTCAGAGGGTTTTAGGCAGGGTCCACGCCTGCAACACCACTCAGGCCCAACCCCCGCCCCCTAACCTCAATGTCATCTGCTTTGTAGTAGGATGGCAGGGCTTTGAGAGGCGTCATCGATGGCAGCTTTCCGGAGCAAAGCTCCTCCTGAGCACGGCACTTGATGTTTACGCGGGCTGGAGCCCGAGTCGTCAGTCGTGCCATGACAAGAACAAGAATTCTCACAACACTAGCTGAGAAAACCAAAAGGGTGATAGAAAAATGAGCCACTGACCATGTAATAACAACTATTTACTAGTTGTACCAACTGAAAGTCCCACGTGCACATTTCAAGAAGGTGTGAGTTTCTGAAGCAGAAGGGGTTACCTGAAATCCCAACATCTTGTAAACCATCCACCTCACTCAACCAAAGCGGTACTTCAGGGCTTAGTTTACACAAAAAGTGACAGTTCTTTATCACTTCCTGCGTGCGATTTGCAGAACCAGTGAGTCAGTGTCAAAGCCCAGGTGTGCTTTTTCGCTCCCGCTCCAAGGTGTGCTTAGTTAGTGCGGTTAGTGCAGAAGGGCGTCACCGCACCCTGCTCTGGCAGCAGAGCTGCAGAATCGTTTGCCCAACCGTGTAAGACTTATACGAACACATTATGTGTAGGTATATGTATGTATGTGTATATATATATATACACATACATAGGCATGTATGATGCAGGGCTGCCAC